TTCAAAAAGTTCCTTTTCCTTTTTTCTTATGCCATACTCCTTGGATAATTTTGAGACGGATATGCCTTTATCCATTTTTTGAAGCAATTCTACTTTTTGTTTGATGGACATCAAAACATGCTTTCACTTTGTAGATCCTTTGGCAGCTCCAGAATTGGAAACTCTTTTTGACATAATCGAAAGTTCAAGCTTAATTTTTATAAAATTGCTCTAACAGTCTGCAAAAAATAATAAGCCGGATCCAATTAGAAGATTAAGGAACATAACAATCTGCAACATTAACTGAAATGGCTTAGAATCAGTAAAGATAATTTTAGCCTAGCTTATACCGTCCGTTATACTTTAAACGCACATGAGTAAACACATTACGTGCATGTGTAAAGCATACAAAAAAAAAAAAAAAAGTCTGTTGCTTTGAGGTCCGGATTATAGATCCTTCCCAATAATGGACGTCCGGATTATAGATCCTTCCCAATAATGGACGTCTGGATTACAAAATTTGTACTGTATACGGCTAATCTTTGGAATATGGTAACAGGTAGTTTGGCATCATTTTGGTAAGGCGATAAAGGTTACTAGCAATAATCTGAGAAGTACACAGTTCGAATCACAGATTATTTTGTCTCAGAGAAATGAGAGATCATGAAACATGTTCATGTGACATTTTCCGGAAAATTCCAATCGTGATTTTAGCTAATAAGCACTTAAGAAACAATTTCGTTGCTAAAGTGCAGAATCGCCCACTTATTTGTTTGGAGCTTTTTACAAGAGTAAGAAGAATTGGATTTTTGTCAATTTTCTTTGACTTTTTAAGTGAAAATAGGTCAATGTGTACATGGATAAAGTCAAAAGTGTGCGCAATGCCTTTTTGTACAATTCTGGGATATTTTTTTGGTTAATCTTTGGATTATGGTAACTTGACGATTTTTTGGCGAAAATTTGGCGACCAACCCTGCTACAACAACATGCTAGTTTTTGTTTGGACGCCATTTTGTTTTCATGAAGTAAAAGCATGTTTTTTTTGGTACTTACGTATTATCGCAATCAGGTTGGCGCGATTTGTAAGTTTGAGTAAAAAAGTATGAATAGAAAGAAAATGTACATTTATTAATTACATTTAATTTTTAATACAGTTTTTTATATTATTTTGTTTTAAAATATAAAATAGCAATTAAACCCTTCCGGTTTCGAATTTGAATAAGTTGCAGAATTATTTTTTCGGTGGAAATCTTTTGGCTATTGCTTTTAGCACTGATTGAAAACCGTCTTCGCCATTAACAGCTTGAGCTTGGCGCCATATAAATTCGATAAGGTATGAGTCAAGATGATGACGGGCTGTTCCTCTCTGTTTTTTGTTGCGCCATTTGGCTGAGCCCCACATGCGCTCTACATGTTGTGTGTGAACGCCCGTGTTGGGATCCACAAAGTTATATTTGTGATTAACAGTTCCATGCAGAAATCCAGCATTTTCGAATTCACTTGTATTGTATCCTTTCCAGCAATCCGAATAAATGATGCTTCCTTCCTTGATATTTTCGCAAATTTTTTCCATGAGGGTAACGGCGCTTCTGTTAGGTACAGTAACCAAAAAAGTCTCTTTTCTCGGCAAATTCCGCCGAAAACCCAGTGCTGTGGTAGTACACGCCCAGTGTTATTTTTTCTTCTTACAAATAAACTTTCGTCTATTTCCACAATAAGTCCTTCGCCGCCTATTTGCTTTCTTTCTTTTTCATCCATTTCAAGGGCACATATCTCCCGCATGTAATTAATAATCTGCATGTAACGAAAAACTACGTATAATACATAGGGTTGCCATAAGTAGGGTAACCAAATTTGGCGATTTATGCGAATTTTGGTCTGGTTGCGTTAATACGTAAGTACCTTTTTTTTTACTCAACATTTTATTCCAACAATCTGATAGCCAAATTACGCTTATGCTAGAACTTTTATGGAACAAAAGTGCTTAATCATGACGAAGATTAGGTGCGAAATTGGGAGAAAGTGCAGAATCGCAAACTGCTTGCCGCGTTTTTAAGAATTGCACATACGCTGTATACATGTACACGTTGACCTATTTTCACTTAAAAAAACATCCCAGAATTGCACAAAAATGGCATTGTGCACACTCTTGACTTTATCCATGTACACTGCTAAAGTCCTAGCTAGTAACTTTTATCGCCTTACCAAAATGTCGCCAAACTACCTGTTACCATATTCCAAAGATTAGCCGTTTTTTAAGTGAAAATAGGTCGACATGTACATGGACACCGCGTATATGCAATTCTTAAAAACGCGCGAAGCAGTGGGCGACTCTGCACTTTCTCCCAATTTCGCACCTAATCTTCGTCATGATTAAGCACTTTTGTTCTATAAAAGTTCTAGCATAAGCGTAATTCGGCTAGCAGATTGTTGGAAAAAAAAAAAAACATGCCTTTACTTCGTGAAAACAAAATGGCGTCCAAAAAAAAAAAAACTAGCAGGTTGCTGTAGCAGCATTGGTCAACAAATTTTCGCCAAAAAATCGCCAAGTTACCATAATCCGAAATTCACCCTGTATACATTAGCAGATGATTTCATACGAAAGAAAGATGAACAGTTAGAGTTGACTTTGGGGTACCCCTTGTATTATCGCCAAGTTGTTTCATTTGATAACCTGAATAGTTAAAAGTTATGGAAACCCTATTATGGCATAATCGTTTGCATTATTCTGGGAAATTTTGAATCATGGAATGTTTTGTAAAGGCTTTTGTGATGCATGTGAAGTACATTGCTTGTTTCATTGTTTGGATGGTAGAATGGCTGAATGTAGTAAGATTAATTTGTTAATAAGTTTCTGTACGATTTGGAACGAAAAGGGAAAAATGCATTAATTGACTGGTGTGTAAATGAAGGTTTACTTAGTAGCCATTTTCGGGGCAGTCCGAAACACGTAGGATATTTTTTACTCTTATTTTTGTGAATTTACCGTAATTTCCGGAAGAAGCGCCGCGGCGTTTACATGTTTAAAACTTAAATTTTCAGCGGGTGCGGCTTTTCTACCCATGCGGCGTTTAGGTGCACTAAAAATAAAATATTTCCTATGATGGTCATTGTACATAGTTTGGATGGCCTTGTCATTGTGCATAGATTGGTGCTGATTCCCACACAAAAGACCACTCAGTTTTGCTTTTTGCGAACGTTATTTTGTTATGTTCTTTCCCTTGAACGACGGACCTACATGCCTTATTCATCCTAAACGAGATCTCAGAACAATAACATTCTTCCCCCTTTCAAATCAACATTCTCATCAGTTTGAATAGTTCTTCTCCTCTGCCATTCGATGAATCTTCCAGGACCCATTTTCTTTCCACCCCTGCCTTTTCTGCAATTTTTTTCAAAGGCGGACACGACTCCACCTGCCTCGCAATAACGAACTCTGACATATTTCCCCTTCAGCATGAATGGATTTTTCCTGGCATTCTGCCAAATACAGATCCCATCAGTTAGGGTACAAGTACTTGTTGGATAGTTTTTAATTAGGGAGAGGAAAATTTTTGAAAATGTCCCTAAACGGCACAGAAGCTATACACTTCTTACCTTTATTTTTGAGTTATGGTTTCATTTCATGCATTTTTCTTAACTGGTATGTCATATATCAGGACTTAGGTTGAGTTTTTGCATCTATACGGCCCACGACGATGTCACGCGCAATTTAATCTATTGTGTCGTTTACGCTGATGCGGCGTTTCTGTGTAATTTTAATTTTTTTCCCGCCATTTTTCTCGAGTGCGGCGTTTACGCTGATGCGGCCTTTCTTCGGAAATTACGGTATGTGGCGACGCCGATATACGGATTCTAGTTCAAGTAATTTTAGGAAGTTTTTGGATGCAGTTAAGGAATTTTGCGTGCCACAGAATTAAGTGGATATTTGCTTTGTGTAATGCTTAAATGTATAATGTTAATGCATAATCCTTTTTTATGTTATTTTATTGTTTGGTTTAAAATGTAGTTTATTGAGATTATGTATTTTGTGTTCGCCTCTACTGTAGAATTGGGTGCTCTTTTGACTTTTTAAGTGAAAATATATCGATGTGTACATGGACATACTCGACGGAGTGCGCAAAGCCTAGTTTATGCAATTCTCTGGTATTTTTTTAAGTGCAAAATAGGTCGATGTGTACATGGATACCGAGTTTGTGCAATTCTTCGTCTTCTTATTTTGGCTTTGTGTAGCGGCGATATAGCAAGTCAAAGAATTGCACAAACTTGGTATCCATATACCGCCAAAAATCGCCAAGGGTACCCTAAAATATACTTTTACCAGATGAACTTTAACTGGATTAAACTTGTATGAAATTACAAACATCCACACTTTTGAGAAATAATCATCACTGTTACCTGAAAAAGAAAGTAAAAGGTAGGATATACAAGCTGATATTAATGGTTCAAAAGTTTCAGAGTTCAGAAAATGCTAATATCATCACAGATGCAATATCAGTACCCTAAAAAAGCATTAATCATCTACTGAAACTGACATCACTTTTCCTGAAAAGAGAAATACTTTTAGTTTTTAAGTATCTTAATCATTATCACAAATAACATCTGCAGCACTGGCAGAACATAATTTATTGCTATATAAATGAATTTTTATTATATTTTTCTAAATTTTCATAATGCACATAATTGACGCAGTTTCATCTCTAATACATATTTATGCAATTAAATGGTTACATGCGGACCTGTAATTAGTAAGCCCAAAGAATATTAATTAAGCATGTGGGTTTTCTTCCGCATTTGGCGCTTCCGCAGCGGATCCGTTGTCGCCGGTGGGTATTTATTCGCCAAGCTCGCCAACGGCTAATCGGCCATGATTTTAGCGCAGTGTATAGTTAAGTTGCAAAATATTTATCATATGGAAGCCATGACTTTAGCGATGTATAGTCAAGTTATAAGATATTTAGCATATAGAAGTAATATAAATAGGTTAATAATGACATTTATTATTTCTAAGGCATACTTACCACGCCATCCATATTCTTAACGAAGTAACTTCCGCTAGAACCTTGATAAATTCTCTCTGGTAAAACGTCATTTGCAATTGCAAATTCCGCATCCCTGATTATGCTCGTAAATTGTGGATCATCAGGAAAATTATTGAAATTACAAACTGAATCTGACTCCATTCTTTGAAGGAGCGGCTGATTTTCACGCGTATTAGACGCGAGATTTGTGACAGGTAAAACAGGTACGAATGTCACATTCGGGAGTTCAGAATGTGGTTCTTCCTTATTTATAACAATAGATATATAAGGGGTAGAAAATGTAGTTAAAGGAAGTTCATTGGTTGACATTAGCCACCCTTCTCAGCTTATATGCAAGTGACACATACATCAGCTGTGACAAGTCAACTTATCAACACACATGAGAGTAAACGTGATACTATCCACAGACATAATCTCTCCCCGGTTCTGCCAGATATTCCTTATTTATTTTCTCCGCTTCTAAAATTATTGGGTTAGATTCTCATTTGAAACACACACATCGTATTTTATTCTCACACACAGATAGTATTTTATTCTCGAGTGTCAAGATGTAGAAACATCTTTTTACTGGACTTCTGATAAGGATCGGGTGGGGGGGGAGAAAGAGTAGGTTGAAAGGAGTGTGGGAGGCGAAAAAAAGAGAGTGAGGTCCGCATTAGCGGCGGCGAAAAAAGGGGGGTGGCAAGTTCAGTGTCGTTATAAGATATAGCCGCGGGTGGTAAAACTGCAGAGTCAGTTTAGCGTGAATGAGTCAATTAATGTTGTGATTCTTATGTGTGAAGGATGTCACTTGGGTCACGATGTTTTTCTCTGGGATGCGGGGAGTGTCTGAGATGCTAATAAGGCTACTGGGTTTGTACTGAATAAAAGAAGTTGACCGCTAATCTTTTAATATACTTTTATTCTCGAGTGTCAAGATGTAGAAACATCTTTTTGCTCGACTTCTGATAAGAATCTGGAAGAAGGAGTAAGAGGAGTAGTGTGGGAGGAGGAAAAGAGAGTCCGGTCCGCGGTAGCGGCGGCGAAAAGGGGGGGAGTGAGTTCAGTGTCGTTACAAGATGTAGCAGCGGATGACAGACCAACACCGACTCTACTGTGACAAATCAACACCGACTCTACTACAGTAGAGTCGGTATTGGACAGAACGCACAATTAACGAATGAGTCAATTAAGGTTGTAATTCTTATGCGGGTAGGATGTCACACGGTACCGATGTTTTTCACCGGGATGCGGAGAGTGTCTGAGAGTGCTAATAATGCTATTACTGTGGGTTTGTACTGAATAAAAGAAGCTGACCGCTAATCGTTTAATATACTCTTGAATATGTTCGATTTGAAAGTCTCTGTGAATGTAGATGTTTGGAATATACCAAGGAGCATTGATAGCTTCTCGTAGAATATTATTTTGCAGAATTTGTAATTGTTTAATATTGGTTTTAGCTGCATGTCCCCAGATTGGAGCTGCATAAAGGAGGGCTGGACGAAGTATGCAGCGATATAAAATTAATTTGTTTGTAGCAGATAATTTGCTTCTTCTACCAAGAAGTGGTCGCATAGTAGCTGGGGGGATTTAAAATTTTTGTACTACGGAGCGGAAGAGGGTTCTGAAGGTAAGTTTTTGATCAAGGGTGACTCCAAGTACTTGGTTTCATTAATCCAGTCTATTTCTTCGTCAAATATTTCAGGGGTGGAGGATAGTATTTCATGTTTTCCTTAAGGAAAATTATTGCCTTGGTCTTTATCAGTGTTAATTTTAATCCTCCAAAGGGTGAGCCATTTTTCCAGTTTTGTGAGATAGTTTTGGAGTTGGTTTCTTACGGCGATTGCTGTGTAGGCTTTAGTAAGTATGGCGGTGTAATCGGCAAAGAGTGCAAGATGAACAGAAGGGTCTTTAGGAATGTCTTGTATATAAATATTAAAATGGTACGGCGAAAGTGCCGACCCCTGTGGGACAGCAGCTTTAATTGCTCTGGTGGTTGAGTGCGCAGTACCGATTTTATTTCTGAATGTTCTGTTGCTGAGAAAAGAGGCTATTAAGCGAATAAAATTATCTGAAAAATTGAGAGTGATTAGTTTGTAAATAAGGCCGCGATGTCCTACCCTGTCAAAAGCTTTCGCGATATCGAGGAATATGGCAGCGGTCGGAAGCTTGCAGCTGTAGCCTTCAGTGATAATGTTGGTAACTCTAAGAAGTTGGTGGCAAGTGCTATGATGATCGCGAAAACCGAATTGTTCTTCTGAGAGAAAATTCATGGAAGGGTGAATTTTTTGGATGTGGAAAAGTAGAATTTTCTCAGTAACTTTAGACAGATGGCTAAGTAAACTGATAAGGCGACAGTTCTGTGGGAAGGTGGGATTTTGTTGCGGTTGAGCAAAAACAATTATCATATCTTGCTTCCATGACTTAGGAAAATGAGCAAATTTGATGAAGTTGTTGATTATCTTAGTTAGGGAGGTAAGAGTGTTGATCGGAAAATGTTTCAGTGCTTTGTTCGAGATGCCATTGTGCCCTGGGGCTTTCTTCGTCTGTAAGAAGCTGATGGTGTTGGCAACGACTGTTAGGGTTGTCAGGAAATTGAAGTTGTATGGAGCAGGGGTATTAAGGAAGTTATTGACCACCAGGCTGACCCGTTGAATATGGTTATTGTCGTACGGAGAGATATTAAGAGTGAATGTGTCTTCCATATAATCCGAAAACGATTTAGCTTTATCTTCTTCTGTATATGAAATTGCACTAGGTCCATGGATAGGTGGGATAGGTTTATAAGGTTTCTTGAATTTGCGGGGAAATGTCAAATAGGGAATTGTCCTCTATAACTAGGTTATTTAGGTAACTGGTCCATTTTTGGTTTTTGAAGTTTTTGATTCTTCTGTTGATTTCTTTTTTCTTTTTGCATGTAGTTCGCGTTTGAGTTGTGGATCCCTGATGGTTAGCCATCTTTTACGGATCCAATTTTACTCTTTAATACTATTTCTTATATCGGCAAGTAGGGGGAGGAAAGGCTTGTTCACATAAAAAGTATTGGTGGTTTCCTTTAAAGCAGAATTGATGCAGTTGGTAAATTTTGAGACTTCTTGTTCTAATTCTTTTTTGTTGTTGATGCAAGGGTTTCCTTGTATGGAGTTATTCAGAATTTCGGAGTATTTGATCCAATTCGTAACTCCTATACTTCTGTCA